AGGAAGCTGTGCAGATTTCCTCTTCACTAAGGTCAAATATGGACGGAGATTGTCCCCTGATCTCCCATCTGAGACAAATTCCTTCTGCAGTTATCACTACTCTTGATTTTCTATCTACAAATAACACAATGATCACTTCCTTCAGCAAATACTCTGGAAACTAACAAAGTCAGACTTTATTCTCTAGTAAAAATATTTAACAACTTAAGAAAAAAATAGTATGGTTAATGAGAAAATACAATGAGACTCTAGCTCAAAGGCTTTCTTGTTATGAAATTTTCAGCATACACATGAGGTTCATGTAAAAATAAAAAACTGTTAAAGAGCTACTAGGTGTTAGTCACTATACAATGCTTCAGAGGAATAACAGAGAACAAAACATCACCCATCCAAAGAGATTGAGACTCCTGACCAAGGTCAGGCTATTTGACATTTTCTGGAAGCCCATTAGAAATGTAAATTAACAGACTCCACCCCAGATCTACTAAACCAGAGCCCTTGGGGGTGGAGCCAAGGAAATCTGTGTTTAACAACAGAGTCTAACGCCCAATGGAGTTTGTTAACCACTGTCCTAAATTAATTATATGGGTAGGATTTGAAACTTCACAGATACCTACATGATGGAGCATGGAAGGTCTGACAGAGCAACTGAACAGGTAAAATCTCTTCAATGTCCATTGTTCAGCTGTTTTTCCTAAAGGAAATACCCAGGACTACAAAGAAAGAGTAGGTGAATTTTACTTAATCATGGTTTTGTTTAAATTCCTTGATCTTAGTATCTATGAAAGCTTTGTTATATATTTATGCAATGCAACAGGATAAATATAAGTGAAAAGCCAGGGCAAAAAAAAAAAAAAAAAAGAAAAGAAAAGGAGAAACAAGGTTAGATATGAGAAAAATTATTCTCTAACTTTTCTTTCTCCCAGTATCTGTAAAAATATTTAATCTCTGTTCCATCTTTCACTGATTTCACTATAACTTTTGCTGGTTTGACATCAAATATTTTAAAAAATATTATTGTGTATCCAGTATGCCAGATATACACACAGGGGATTTATGGAATTTAGTTTCTTGTGGAGGGAGAGTGACCAACAACTATGTTCATAGATAAAATCAGTAAGACACAAAGAACATAAAATAATAATTATGGACAGGCCTCTCTGTGGAAGTGACATTTGAGCTGAGAATTAAAGGAAAGAAAGGAAGCCAGAATTGCAAAAGTAGGAGAAAACAGCATCTCTGGCTGTGAAAAAGGAAAAGTGAACCTATGGATTTGGAGTGGCTGGAATTGACAATGGCTGGGGAAGCTATGGGTGAGATTAGATGGAGGCAGGGGCCAGATTGCACAGGACTTAGGTAGCCATTTGGATCTTATTCTAAACACAGTGGGAAGTGATAAGAAATCTGGTTTAGGTTTTAAAATAGCATTCTGGTTGTGGAGAGAAGCCGGAGATGGAGGAGGGCAGGACAGAATATAAATTAGGAAAACAGTTGAGTTGGTAAAATGATGGTTTAAATTATGGTTCTAAATGAATGAATCATAAAGTGAGTTTGGGGGAAGAAGGCATATGGGGTTGAGCTCCAGAGCAGTTTTAGATATGTTAATTTTGAGTGCTGATTAGACTTTCTGTTGTAAATGAGCTGAGTCTGTGTAGGTAGGAGATTTAAATTGGAAAGGTACTTAAATCTTTAGAAATGAATGATATTATCTAGGGAGAGACCATAGGACAGGAATGAGACCACAACCGAGACTTGAAGTGCCCCAAGATTTAGGGGTTCAAGAGGATTTGGTGCAGAAAAAAAGGACATTGAGAACCAGACTGGTCAAGTAAAAGGGATATCAGCTACAGCATCTTGATAGCCAAAAGGAAATGTCTGGGAGGAAGGGCAGCTATGTTAACTGCTGTTGAGAGCTCAAGGTAATTTGAATTGGTAAATTTCTTTATCTTGGTGACTCAGTGGAAGTTGGCCAGGACCTATTTCAGGGAGGCAAGACAAGAAAGCTATCAGTGAGTTGAAAGACTTAAGCAAAGAAAAAAGATCAGAGCATATTCAAAGACAAATAAGTAGAGAGAAAATATTTGCAATTCATAGAATTTACAAGGGCTACTCTTTTAGATGTATAAATACCTCTTAAAATTGACCAAAAAAAAAAAAAAAGAAAGAAAAGAAAAAGCCAAAAAAACATGATAGAAATTGGGCAAGAGGCTTGAACGTAGGGTTCACAGTAAAAGAAATAAAAAAGTATATGAAAATGAAAACTTTAGTGATAATAAAATAAATGCAAGTTGAAAATGTATGAAGATACTATTTCTTATCCAGCCAGTGGGTAATAATCCAAAAGTTTCACAACTTTCTTATACATTGCTTGGAGTGCAAATTGTACAAGTTTTGTGGTTGGGAAACTGACAAAACATACCAGTTACAGATGCATTAATCAGAAATCCCATTTCTTGGCAATATGCCCTTTAAGGCCAAGATTCTCAACTTTTTGGTTTCAGGACTTCTTTGTATTCAGGTTATTAAGGAAGATCCCAATAAGCTTTTGTTTATGTGTGTTAACATCTATATTTACTGTATTAGGAACTAAAACTGCATCTTAAAATTATTAATTCATTAAAAATAATTTTAAAACATTGTTACAAAATTTTTCTTCTGAATCAAAATTAATTGAGAAGAGTGGCTTAGTTTCACTGTTTTACAAATCTCTTCAACTTATGGCTTATCGGAACAGCCATTTTCTCATATTTGCTTTAGCATTTCTTCTATTGCAATATGTTGTTTTCAGTGAAGTATTTGAAGGAAATCTAACCTCACACAGGTATGTGGAAAGGGGAAGAGTATTCTGATTTTTAAGATGATTGTGATTTTTTTCTCTGTAATCATATCAATGAAATTTTTTTGGACTCTGTTATATTAAAATTGATTGGTCTGTCTTATAATCTGAATCCCTCTTTTACCCTTGCATAATTTTGTAACTGCATGCATTGTTCATTTGGCTGTGAGTTTGCAGGTCTTCCAAATGTTGACATATTTCATTATATAATATAAAAAAAATCACATTTGTTAATATCACCACCAATCTTATCAGAAAAGACTAAATATTGGAAAGTGGTCAAGCTTACAATGGTGATACAAGTCTTCCAAAATTCTAATTTTTTGCTTAAAAGCTTACGTGTAATCATTGGCAACTAATAATTTCAGTTGTTTTTTCTTGAAATGACAAGGTCACTTTGTTAGCAAGAAAATGTCTGCAAAATGACAAAGTCTGAAATAACATTAGTTCTTTTCAGTTCTTTAAAAGTAAAAATGTTCTATAAAAATAGTGTCTAGTGTAAGTTGCATCTCAAGCAATCGCACAAGTGTATATTTTCTTGAGACAACTGCTGGACTTCCTTACACAGCATGAATGTTTTTATGTGAATTTTCCATTTTGTCACCCAGAATATCAAACAAATTTTGCACTTAAAGATTTAATGTTTTACTACTTCATAAGGATATAACAATATTTTAAGTAAAACTTTTATTTTTTTTTTCTTTTTTTACTGGAAGTATGCAAGTATATAGAGATAAAATGCAAAAAAATGACTACTAGTACTCTTTGGTATGACTTCCTTAATTAATGGTAAGACCTAGCAGTTTTATCCACCATCAGTGCAAATGTCAACACTGTGAAAAATGCAAACAAAAATTTGGGAACCACATTTTGAAAACAGCTGCTTTAAGATGTACCTTAACAAAATACCAAAAAAAAAAAAAAAAAAAGGCATATGCACAAGATTAATCTGTGTTAGAATTATAAAAATGCTTTCCATATCTTAAACATTAAATCAAAAAGAAATAATTAAAGGGCAGACAGTCTAATTGATGGCAAAGAAAGAGTTTGGTTGAGAGTGAGGGCTTGAGAGAGCTAAGAAAAGAAGTTTGGGAGTTCTGAGGCCTGTCAAGTTTGGGGAGATACTGTCGAAAAAGCTGGTTAATGAGGTGGAATGGAGACAAATGTGAATAGAATAGAGGATTTTGAAAAATGAGTACTTGGTGTTATGTCACCCAACAGTGGCTGAAGATGGGGTTAGACAAGGAAACTAAGTCAACTAAACATAGTCCTTAATTGGGGAAGAGTTTCCAAAATTATATTCAACAATATAATTTAAATAATGTTTCTAGAGAAAAGATAGAATTGATGATCAATGCAGAAATGAGGATGAAGAAAATTAAAAATCCTTTGTCAGTTTCCTAAAAAGCAAAACAGGAGAATACGAAGTTTCCCTTTTTCATTTTTTTTGCAGGGTTTTTGTTTTCTTTTTTCGGATTTCTTTACTGGTGGGTTATAGGGTAAGGCAAACTGGGCCACCCTGGATGTAAAATTTAAGGAGGCACTCAACTTTGGGGCTCCTGTGTACCTACAGAAGCATGCAAATGAGTGCCTCCTTATATTTGGCACCCTACAGCCTTTTGTTTAAGGAGGCACTCAAAGAAGCCCTCATTTGCTGGTATTCCCAGGAGCTGGAATAGTGAGCTGTGTGCCTCATTTGCACCGCTAGTGCTTGGGGCTTTGCCTGGCCCTGGTTCCTGAAGCATTTTAGCACCATTCCTTGTACTGAGCACTTTTTTTTTTTTTTTTTCCCCAGTAAATGACTTACAGGGAAATACTGTGCTATGCTGTTGCTTGTAATTAATCTTAAGAATGTTGCTTGAGGTTATTGGAAAACTTGAGAGGGCCCCTCTGATCATAAACACTGATAAAACTGTCTCCTTCCCCAAGTATGTGGCTGGCTGCCAAAGGTTTGTTGGATTTGAAGAGTCCAGAATGTGCTGACCTGCTCTGTCTGCATGGACTATTTTCCTCTGGTCTTTGATGCTTGACTGTGGACCCCGAAGTTACCAAGAGTGCCTGCTCCAGTACACAGAGGAAGCTGCCAAGCTTTTCCTGTTCAGAGTGAAGGGAAGTATTCCACACCAGAAACAAACCATCCAGTCTTCAACTGGGGACACCAACTATGACGTCTGAAAGGCTCAGCCCCCAGTTACAGCACAACATTACTGATGATACCTATTGTGAGATACACCTGGAACCAGCATGGCTGTTCTGTGATGATGACCAAACCACACTTTGCAGCAAATGCTTCCAGTTCCACAAGCACAAGTGTCACATGGTGTATGGGATACAAGAAGCTGCCGAGAGTTACAGAGTAAGCTTCACGCAGATCCCAAAATACTCTGGCACTCTGGCCAATTCCTCTTATTGATTGATTAGACAGATATTCTAATTCTCCTTTAGTTGATGTTTATTGAAGAATACCAGTTCCATATTTAGAAAGAAAAAGTTCCATATTTAGTTGAACTTTTAACTTCAAGACTAAGAAAACATGTCATGGCAATTGGCCTTTTAGTTGTCTA